AGAGCGTTTTGTTATTCCACAGCTTGTCTGGAGTAAGAGCCATACCTTCCCTGTTGAGGTATTGAAAACGAATGTTCTGTATTGTGGGATGAAGCACATATTTGCAATTTTTCTCGCTATAAGCATTGAGTTTTTGTAAGAGCATGTACTTGAACACACAGTAATCAAAGCTAGCTTTTAGCCGTATTTGCAGTAAATACCTCAAATTAACATTTTAATTCTAAACTGTCCAGATTCTCCAGAAGATTGGGAAGGACACAGTGATCACCCATGAGAAGGCAGCCGCTACCCCCGGGAACATTGTCGGACCGCGGGACTTCGTGAGCGTCCGCTGCTCTAAGAGACGCGGCTCCACCTGCGTGCTGGCCGGCATGGCCACAAAATACGGAGCTATGCCGGAACAGGAAGGATTTATAAGGTAATCGCCTCTTGCATTCACCTACAGGGTGGTTACTGCGTCATATTCACATACCAGCTCTCAGTATGGGCTCAGAGTAATTAGGTTTGTCACAGTAGCAGGAACCGCAGTTCACAAAGTGCTTCAGCACGGCTGGAATTTTGAGGTGAAGTCAGACGCTGCTTTCTAACGCGCGCCCTCCCATCCTCTTACAGAGCGGAGAACGGTCCCACGTGTATGATCCTGCGCCCGCTGGCTGGCAGTCCTTCCCAAACCAAGCTCATATGGCTCCTCAGCATTGACCTGAAGGTAAGTTTTGCAGCCAATTTTTCCAAGTAGAAGCAGGGTTTGCGTTCGAGGCAGGTTCCACTCACAGCCCACGTCTGCTCCTCTCTAGGGCTGGCTGCCGAAGACCATCATCAACCAGGTTCTGTCCCAGACGCAGGTCGACTTCGCCAACCACCTTCGGGAGCGCCTGGCCCAGACCGTGGCCGTGAACTGCTGACCGTGCGTGTAATAATTCATTGTTGGGGGGTAAAGTAGGGAATCTTGTCCTGGGGTAAGTCAGGCACAGTCTGACTTCAGGCTGTGCTAATTAGGTAAGGCCTTTAATAGTAGAGACCACTAATTAATACATAGTTTCAATAAATAAATAAGTAAAGCTTCATTTATTGAAAGAGACTAGTGAGGGAGGGCACGGGGACCTGACAGCTCCACCAGAAATTCAAAGCAAGTCCTGCATTTGCTCCTCTGAGCATGTGCTGGCCCAGTCAGGCCCTGTGACCTCCTTCACTAATCACTTTCAATAAATAAATAAAGCTTTAATTAGTGGTGTCTGCTATTAAAAGCCTGGGCTAATTAGTTATTAAGGAAGTCCCAGACACTGGGCTGAGAAGGCAGGAGGACCAGCACATGCTTAGTGGGGTAAACACATTTTACTCCCCTCCTTCCCCCAAAACACAAACAGAGCACACATTTACCTAAAAATTTGATTCCCTTCTTGCCCCAGTGAATCAGCTTTAATTTATTTTTCCTGTACAGACACACACAAAGTGTCAAATTATTTATTCATTCAAAGCTCTGCAATGATAACTTGTCAATGCTGTGAGCAGGAGATCTTCAGCTTGAGCGATCTCTAGAGCGTAGCTTCTTCGAGTTTAAATCTTATTCATTACAAGTCTCAAGTAAAAAAAACCCAAAAAAATAAAAAACAACGAAAAAACAACAAACAAAAAAACCCTGAAAGTAAGAGTTAAAGGCTTTATTTTTTAAACTGGTTTCCAGTTTGTGGGGGGGAAAAAAATTACAGTTTGGCCAGCAGCCCAAATTTCAGTCTCACATGCAGTAGTCTTGTTACAACACAATCCTCCTGGCTGGGAGCTGCTGTTTACAACTGAGCTGAAGTGTCAGTATTGCTTCTGCAAGTGTACGTACAGCAGGACGGTCCAACTACAGCCTGCTCTCGCTGAAGAGCTGACCATTACAACCCAGGTACAGCACATGAGAAGTTATCTCAACACAATACTTGCTTCTTCAGCTAGCTACACTGTAAAGGGTACTGAAGACTCCGAGAGATGCCCACAAATAGCACGATACATACTAGAACTGCATTCACTTAGACGCCAGCGTAGTGGCAGAAAGTGGACTCTTCGGCAGGTAACAAATACACACAGCACCTGCCGTCAAAGGCTTCAGCGTGTTGGCTTGTTGGCTGATTGTTCCGAGTGATGCGTGTTCCTCTAGAATAAAACCCACTTGACTGGATACCCGCTGTCCTTCTCGTTAATGCTGCGCCACCTGCTTCGTTTATGGCTCCCAGGGTGGGCTTCGTCTTCCATCAACTTCTGTCTCTACATGGTAGAGGACATCTGCCAGCGTGTGCTCGACAACAGCTCCCCAGCCCATGTCGCTCATCTGCAAAGGGACAGGCAGACAGTTAGCTCCAGTCCTGAAGCACAGGCTCCGGACAAAGGGTACAGCGGCGTTCCAGGACTGTTTCCCTCCTGAAAACGCTGGGGGGGTGGGAAATTCCCAAGTGTTTCCTTAAACAAGAATTCAGCCCTCTTACTGATAAAAGAGGCTAACACAGGCAAGAAGAGGGACTTTATAATGTGTCAGGAGGAACAAGACAGCATTTACTATTTAGTTAAAATGTAGCTAACTTATATGTTAGGCTATATTTTTAAATACAATCCTTTTGGTTACTCTGTCCAAGTACAAAGACTGAAGAGGACAGATACAGGTTTGGTCTAGATCAATTCCCACCACAACAAAATCTCAACCACCTTTTGTTTAAATACTGTGAGGCTATTGCAAAGCAGGGGTTAAAAAGCTTCAGTTATTACTTACCGGGCGGTAAGTGATATCCCTAGGTGGATACTTGAAATATGGCCCAAAGTTTATAGAAACCTGTGAAAGATATACTTGTCATTAGATTAAAAAAAAAAAAAACACACCCAGGCAAATTTCTAGTGTCTTCATTCTCATCCCCTCCTGCTCCTGTGCCTACCCACACCCTGTGCAAGACCCCATGAACAAACATCTTTGGCCTGAAAGGAGAGCGTTCGTTCAACCGCTTGATGAAGTTAAATCACACAAGGGAGTAGCAGAATTGTTCCAGAGTCGCTTCACTAAAACAATTCCTGTCTTTCCTCTTCACGTACTTGACACGCTCCTGGAGTGCCCACATTCTAAAATTATGCATTACTAAAACTACGATGGACTTAGGAATTATCTTTCAAAAGATATGTTACTTACCGTGCAGCCTTTGTACAAAGAAATAGCAGGAAAGTAAACTCCTTCAAAGATGTCTTTAAAGGCAATTCCTTGGCTGGCACCATTCTTAAAGAATATTATCTAAAAAGAAAATGAAGAGGGGTTTTTTTCCCCATTGATGCTAACTTTTACTGCCTTGTGAACTACAAAGTAATCCTCAAGAGGCAGCTTAACCTACGTTCCCCTTTACCTGATGCCACACAATTACTCAAGCGACAGCAGTAACATTACAAGTAAAGGGCGTAGCTGGTTTGTTAAGTTCACATTTAGTGTTGCTTTAATAAAAGCATTCTTGTTCTTGAGGAAGAACTAACGATCGGCCTCCCTTTGTGCTCATTAAATGCAAGTGATTAATACATACAATAAGCCACTCTCAGCAGGCTTCCCACTCTTCCTGAAGTTATGCACCCTCCACCTACCAATGCTTGACTTACCTGGCTCCCAGGTGCTTGCTTCAGGCTCTTCTCTGCTTTGTCCACAAAGTCCTTCTCTTCAAAGTACAAGTAGCTTTTGAATTTGATCAAAGCCTGAAATATTAGAAAACAACCACTTCAGAAACAAGCCAGAAAAGCTGTTACCTTTAGTGACGTATTAAAGAACAGCAGACCTACGGGAGCCCTGCTCTGGGGTCAGAGTCCCCATTAAGAATGCTTCACACACCTCAACTATTTGAGAGCCAGGAGGGGAAGAGAAGATGAAACCAGATGTGGGCAATCCAGCCCATGCAGAGTCTTCCCTCACAGAACCTCTGAGTGGTCCTGGATATGTTGTTTTCTCGAGGTCAATGCTTTCGACCTCTCTGCTATGAGCCACAGTGGTACCCAGCAGCAGGATGGAAAGGGGGCACTCAAAGGGGGCAAATGCGAGGCTAGAGCAACCCGTTGTCCACTTGTCCTCCTAGCCAACACTTACTCCGATAACGAACTCCACACCTCACCTTATCTTTGTAAGTGTCAGGCAGTGATTTGGCAGTCTCAGTATCTTCTGGAAGACTGATGTAAAATCCCAGGATATCACCCTGTCCGTAGCCAGATGAGTAGTGTTTCCCTATCGACTGGTGAAACTTTGTTCCCTTTTTGCTGCGCCAGGAGTAACTGAACTTGTCGTATCCCAGAGGCGCCTGGAGGTTCCCTGCAGAAACCAATGTTTCTTCATGAACATACACAGCGGATCAGGAGCACCTCTGTGCATCCCGCTTCAAGCTTTGGAACAGGAATGACATCCAGTTAACAACTAACAACTGCCATTAGTACAAATCCATTGACTACAGAGTTAAGACAAGGCCAAGCATGCAACGGCATAAAGGGTCCACCCATACTGCAGTTCTGCACAGTTTAGATCACCTGCAGAAAGAGCTTCCCCTTAAGAAAAGCAGTGAAGAAGTGGGCAAGCTGAACATGACTTACCCTCCCTAGTCTAAATTACTGGGGAAAGAAATACAGGAACCAGTTGGAATCCACTGCTAAGAAATACTTGGTTAAATTATTTACCCAGGGGCTGTGACCAGCCTAATCTGGCAGCTGTGTCTGGAGGCATCTCATCCATGGATATTTCAAAGTACCACGCTCCTTTCCGCACTCCGTGCGAGGCTCGTACCATCGAATAGCCTTTCTCGCCAATAACGGTCAGTCTGTCATCAGAAATCTTTAACTGAGGAGCTGCGGTAGATGAGAGAAGATACGAGCAGTTCATTTGTGATTTCTAATGTGTGGTGACGTCAAAAGGCAAGCGAACACACAGAAGTGGATTTAACATTTGCACCTTTTAAAGAATGATGTCCAAAACGTCAATAACCGGTAGCGTGAGGTGACAGAAGATGGCCCCTCATAAGAAAAGCTGGCTATACAATGTGCATACGATTAGCAAGCTCCGTACCTCGGTCGTGCAGCGCTAGGAGGACACGTTCATACAGGCAGGCTCTGTAGAGGTCCCCAGGAATAGGTTTTCCTGCCCAACAGTCTAGCTCCAGTTTTTCAGGGTCAGGCGCATGGGGGTCAGGCTCAGCCAAGATGTAACGGTATCCATCTTTATTAAAGGGGTGTTCCAAAGGATAACCGTGGGGTGGTAGGCGCTGGGCGGAAAACAACGGGTCGCTGTGAAACACAAAAACGACAGGTTGGCATCTCACGGCAGCTACGGTTCAGTAACAAGTCAGCCCAGGACAACAGCGCTCAGGGGCTGCACACCGCTTTGCTTCCAAAACAGTGGGTGTACAACGAGCATATACTCCTCTCTTTCAAATAATTTCTAGCATGCGACCTGTCTATAACATCACGGGGCTACAGCACGATTCCCCATACATGTACCAAGGGCAGGGACAGACAGGAGGCAGCTTAAGGCATCAGAAGTAGAGCTGTCCCTCAGAGCAGCATACAACGCCTTGCTATAGGTGCTCATCAGTGTGCCACCGCATCATCTTTCCTCTTACCTTCTGGTTTTCTTGGCTGTTCCCGTGGTCCCTCCATCCTGCTGCTTGCGCTTTGCTCCCCGTCCCTTCCCACTGCCTCCTGCAGCAATTCCCCCTAAACACAGAAAACAGGAGTTATTAAACAGCTGATGATCAGAGAGAGCCTGTGAGCATGGAATCTCCATGAACAGTAAAGGGGCAGAAAAAGTCAAATTAAAACCAGTTCATGAGCTCAAGTACCTTCTTCTACAGTCACACTTGAAAACATTATTGAAAATGAGCATAGCAAAATCCAGAACTTTAAGGAAGCTTCTAGTCAAATT